ATAATCATCAAATCAGTTGAGACGGTTAAAATGCATATAGACTATAACTTTTGGGAAGCACTCATGCTTTAAGAAAACTACAATAAAAATATGATATAACTAAAAAATGGGGTTCCTTAAGATTTCAACTCATAAGTTAATTAATTGCTTTAATTTTTTTAAGGCTAATAAGAATCCAACATTAAAGTAAAACATACTATCAAAGAGCAAGTCATGAGATAATTATTGTAGCGAAATCAATTGAGTCCTTAAAATAACCAGATGTCTTATATGCTAAGCAAGACATGCATCTATGTTAAGCTTATATGCTAAGCAAGCACACTTGTTGAAGAATGCTATGATAAAAGAAAGAAGTTTTCAAAGCACCAAATTATATACTTAAATAAAAAGTTTGAGTAAAAAGATTTTACATAAGTTATAAGACTCTAAGAGTTTTATGTTATTTAGATATCAAGATTTATTGAATATCTCTTTCTATTTTTAAATGACTAAGAATGAAAATTTTAAAGACAATTGTCATTTCCTTTTAATTTGTGGATGGACAATTGTCCATCTTGATACATAGTACAAAATGTAATCGCAAAGGTGGATGATTTTTATTTCTAGTTGATTTTTGTGTGTAAAGTCTAATAATGTAAAAAATAAAATAAAATTTGACAATATAATTAATTAATTGTTCTAAATAATTATGGCAAAGATATGCATTTTTATTTATTAAATTAAATTTTAATTTTCATAATTGTCATTTATTTTTTAACATAAAAATAAATATTTTCATATTAGTACATTTAAATAATCTATTATCATAAATGAAAGAAATTATTTTCTTATTTTAAATTTCAATTATTTATTTTCTTTGTTTGAGTAGAATTGAACAGAAGTTACTTTCCCCGTTAGATCAAATCATCCTCTGCCAATTAAAATCGAAACACGTCGTGACATGACCGTGGCGTGGATATCAAGTCAACTTGAGAGTGGATTTACCATAATATCCACAAATCGTCTTCGCTTTCGTGTCCATACTAGTCGTTTGGCGAAAAGACAAGAGTCTAAGTAAAGATAATTTTATGTTATTTTATTTAATAAAATATGGAAATTTTATTTTATAAAAACTTAAATTAAATTTTATCATAATACCTATTCTTACTGTACATATCAAATATAAAGAAAAATAAATTTTATTAAAATAAATTTTATTTATTCTGTCGTACCCGCAAAACTCATTAGCGCTTCCATAGCCTCTACGTTCGTCGGTTGATGTAGGAAAAGACAAGAGTTCTGTAACGGAAAGCATTGGTCGGGTTTACGAAGGATAAGAACAAATTCACAACTGTACAAAACTCCCTCCCAAAAAAGAAAAAACATACCCACCACGTCATCATGTGCACCCATTCAAAATCACATCATCCACCCAGATACATGCATGAGGCCATCATCTCTTTCGTCCATGGAGCGACACATACAACAGGGAGCCAAAATAGAATGCAATGATTATTTAAAAATTGAACGTGTGGATTTAGCTATAAAATGTAATCGAAGAATCCATTGTGAAGCCACTTGGATGATACATGCAAGTATGCTACAGAACTCCCACTAAGCATCTCTTTGTAGTGTACATAATAATAATGCATAAAAGGGTTTGCGGTAACATCATTCAATTTCAATTTGATAGATCTGTGATGGCAGGCTCTTGATTATCGTCCAAATAACACCCATTATTAGGTCATCAATTGGCGCATATCATATATCATATCAAGAACTGTTGATGCTTTTTTCTAATACCATCCAAGTGTCATATTTTAAAACCTCCGTATCTCTTTGTAGCTTTTGTTAATTCGTCGCGTATTGTGAGTTTTTAATCTTTTGGTGGGACTACGATTATACAGTCCAATATTAGGCATCTTTTCTCTTCTCCAAGTTTCTCCTCACTTATTGGCTAAACTCGAAATGTCGCCATTTAAAAAAGGTGGGAAAAGTTAACAAAAGGAGAGTGGTAGACCACCATATACCCATGTTGCTTGATATTTAATTCTACGTGAATTGTTTGAACATGCGAGAGAGAGACAATCTTAACAACTTCACGATTTGTTACCAACCAGCCTTTATCACGTTGATTTGAAGAGTAAATCAAATTCACAATACAGATTCTATGTACATTTATGAAGTGAGTTAGATGGTCCCCACAAACTTGTTCTATAATATCGGATTATATGCAAAATGTCCCATAAACACGAAGATTCCGGGATTTATGTGTCTTAACTTTGTCTCAGTTACTATGTGGCACTTCATTCCCACTTCCTTAGTGATGGAGAATGCTCGCACGCTCTGATTAAGTTATATATAAGGTGGCTGCAAAACCCGCATAATCTAATGATTAGATTTATACCTTTTAAAAACAAAGGGACACATCCCTTGAGCAAGTGGATCTGTGGGAAAACAATAACATGGATCTTAATTAATAACCAAAGACAATTATGGGAAGTGTTTGGAAGACGTGGCAGAGAAGCAATTTGGGTAAACAAGATTCAATTAGTGTGTGTGATGAAATATTATAGATGAGGGCACAAGGATCCAATAAAAATGAGAACGCTATGACTTATGTCCCTCAAGAGGAAGTTGGGTTGGAGACCGTGGTGGTCTCTTCATTTTCTATTCAAGTGGAGATCTTTATCTTTAGAATGTTGAGCTCTCCCACCAATTACACCAAGTGAACATAAAAGTGCATAGAATGTGGTTTCTTCACTAACAAAAATATTAAGTTGGGTAGGAAATTGGGGTCTGTTAACTTTCATTTTATAATTATGACATACAAATGCTAACTAATTAACCACATGCTAAATACTAACCACTGTCTTTTAGAATACACTTTTTTTTCCCGTGATTTCTAATACCGGGAAACATAATTTTAATAAAAAAATTACTTTTGATTTTTTAATGAATATCCTAACAAGAACTTAAAGCGTTAATTATAGAATTAAAAGTAATTTTTCATTGAAAATTATTATTATTGTACTTTCATTATTATTTATAATATATTTTTAAATTAAATTTTAATAAAAAAACTATTTACTAATTTTTCAATTAAAAGGGTGAATTAGGGTATTAGTTAGCAAACTAAACTCTTATGATAATACCAGGTGAATAACCTTGTCATGCTTAATTTCTATTTGTGAATTTATTAAACAGATTTTTTAATGTGTTTAAGAGCACATGTTAAACAGTTAAAAATATTTATTATCTTAAAATTATAAAAAGTATTAAACGTATATTTTTTAAAATATTTTAATATATTAATAATATATATTTAATTTTTCATTAAACACGTTATAAAATTATTTTCTAAATTCCAATCGTTAGTTGTATCTTCAATCACAAAAATATAATGAGAATTTTCCCGAAAAGTGTACTATTCCAGTTAATTACCTTACATAAATTCAGATTATTTTTCATATGAAGATCCCAGACACAAAAAGACAATTTTTTTAATTATGTTCATATTGGAAATGGATACTTCTGAAGACGAGTATTTAAAAGGCACTAACTGTTTTGCAAAACCTCCTCAAGCCTTCCCTGCCCTCACCTCAAAAAAGAGAAGAACTTATCCGTTGGATGGGCAACACCTAATGGAATGGCTGTTATTAATGTGAGGACTTTGTGGAGAGTGTCAGGGGTGAATATGGCTGCATAAGAGTGCTAAATTCACAACTAAACTTAGGTCAACGAGTCCCACAATATAAGGAAACATCTAACTATGAACAAAACTAATCTAACATTTATTACAGATCCAGACATTCGGGGGCAAAGCCCAAAGACAACATGGTATCGCTGGATGGCATTCACAAAAAATATTAGATATTCAGAATTGAGATTGAAAGCCACAAGTCTGGTTGCGTGAGAAGGTTGAACTATCCTACGTAACGTTACACAAAAATTAGCACTACAGCCTACACTTTTCAATTTCATCGGTCTCTTTTCCAGGTTACTTTCGGTTGTGTTGATCGAATAAACAATTGAAAATATATAATAACAACTAGTCACCCAATATTTAAACATTGCCATTTTATACACAACAATATTTATAATAATGCAAGATCTTCTTGTACAACCTACAATTGGTTTGCCAACATTGTTCCCAATTGTACAACCTAAAATGTTTTAGTTTTTAACGAAATATATGTGACCCAGATTAGTATTTGCTTTCTTGAGACCACATTTTCCCAAATGAACTACTTTGGACCCAAGCGAACGGCCTAACCAGACCAGTATCATTTTGTGTCGGATGGTTAATTTTTAAACCCTCAACAAAGAAAGTCCATTTGACAAAAATAAAAATTAAAAAACAAAAGAAAGTCCAATTATACACATCTTCTGGATTAAATGCAAAGAATTAACAAATTTAAAGAGCCAACGGTTGATAACAAAAGTTTGTTTGACCAAAGAGTTTGTGAATGCCATTCTTTTAACTAAGATAGGTGGTAGCCCTTGCAACGATAGCTAAATAATAAAAGCAGAACTATACAAAGTTTCGAATCCTGTTCTAACAAATTCCCAGGTCCACTCCCTCAATTCCCAATCCCCCTACCCAATGACCAAAAAAAAAAAAAAAAAAACAAGTCATTAAAATTCTAGTAAGATAGAGGATCATAACATTTATTATCACCAATTTTCTGTAAGGAAAAGGAATTATTGCATCTGGGTATACAGTATACTCAATCCCAAAACAAAGGATCATAACGCAAAGGGGAAAAAAAATGGGCGAATAATCAAGCAATCCTAGCACGACTAACGCTGCATGGCTTACCGCAACAGGCTTGAAATCATTCATATATCTCACCCCACCTTAACCTACAGATTTCATCGTGTTAAATGGGGGTGCTGTAACAGGTTATGAACTGTTCAAAATTTTGTTATACCAACCGCTTAAAAAGAATCAGGAAGTCTAAATTTGATTTACAGTGATGTTTTTATATATAATATATCAAAAGGACACTTGCGTATAATTTTTGCTTAAATTGAATCAAGATTTCATTTCCCAATTTTGGAACACACAATCAAATAAAAATTGTGACCTGAATTTTCCACAAAAATAATAAAAATTGGAAAAAAAAAAAAAAAAAAAAAAAACAAACAAAAGACCAATTACTAATGAAACCGAGTTTTACAACAGAACAGGGGCAGAATCTACTAAAAGCAAGTTCCACCAGAAATAACAGTTCAGACGTCTAGAGGAAGGCCCCCGAACAAGAACGAACACCATATCTCAACAGGCATCAGCAACTCAATGCGTACGAGTTCTACTACTTTCTGCACTTCTAATTGGATTGAAGTATGGATGGGCCTGCATAGCATAGTCATGTTTATCAAACATTCTACAAAATAAGTTCTTATTACAAAATGCTTTGGTGGTGGTAGGCAGGGCCAAGGCAGTTAGTATAGTCTAAGCAAAACACATATATACACTTGCCAAAATACAAGATTTTGTTAACAAGTCCTAATAAAAAAGTATTATATGAAAATAGAGATTTTTATGTTCCTAATATATTAAATGCTTTACTTTTCATTTTTTTATTGCTTATCTAGTGCGCCTTTATTTTTCTGAACTTAGCTAGTGCCTTCAAAGCACTCATTTGAGAAAACGAAAAAAGGATTTTCCAACAATGTTCTTTCCTAAAATGGAAAAAAAAATAAAATTCAAGGGAGGATTAACGGCATAGATAAACCAATAGCTAAAGCCAAATCGCATCAAAAGTTTGGGAGTCGCAAACAAAAGACCAAGCTCAGACTAACATATCCTAAATAAGTGTCATAAAACATACTTCGGTACTAAATATCCTAAAAGAATCGGCTCTTACCATGGCTTCTTTTGCAGTGGGACGTTCTTGGTGATCATACCGCAGTAACTTGTCAACAAAGTCAACAGCCTTTTCAAAAAAGTGTAAATTTAGAACAAGAATCAATGACAACGTAGGTAAAAATTAAAATACATGATTACAATGCATACTACCTCAGGAACAGCCAAGTGATGATTTTCTACATTAATGAACTTTGCCCATGGCTTACGACCATGCCTGTCATAATATATGTAGTGTCTTCTCAGTTAATATAAGTTATAACAAAAGCAGAGTATATACAGAACTGTGAAAGCACAGAAATAAACCTCCCAATGAGTGCTGCAAGATGCGGATCCAACTCTATTCGATACTTATTCAAATATGCACTTAACTCATCCGTCCCAAGTACCTATTGCAGGAAGGAAAAACAACAATTAACAATTATCTCTTTATGTATCTTCTACAGCATATCTTAGCAAAGAGCTAAGCAAACATCTTTTGCAGTTCTGAATCTACTTAAATTCAGACTGCTTTAAAGAGTAATTTACTGAAATGCTTTGGGTGATTTTGGCACTCAGCAGAATGGATTTATATACATAATACATAAATAACTACACGTAAAATAATACATGCTAATATTATCAACAATGACAAATGGAAAAATAACGAGTTAATAACCCCAACATATTCCCTCAGTTACATTGTATCTAGTCCACACACTTCCTTAAGCTGGAGAGCATATTATTGGTCCCTAAGCCCTTTATTGAGAAAATCTGCCAACCAATCATTCGAGTTAACAATGCAAAAAAGTTCCCTGATTATCACAAATCAGTCTCTAAAGAAAAAATGAGGTTGCTCCATATATACTTTCTCAGTCAAATCTCCATGCAAAAAGACATTTCTGATATGGAATTGATATATAGGCAATTGATTCATAGTTGCCACGGACAAGAAAAAGGCAAAGGCCATTTTGCAACAAGAAAATGTGTCTCAGTCTTCTAGCCCATAAATCTGAGTAAAGCCTTCAGCCGCAAGGAAAGCCTTAAGACAATCTACAGTACCATCAAATCCAACTTTAATGCTGAACAGGTACCATCTACAGCCTACAAGATATTTACTTGGAGACCAAGTGACAAATGAAAGAGCTTTACGGACTATCCTAGGAATGGACATACACAAGGGAAAGGCAAAACCATTTTGAACAGGAGAAAGACAATGATGACTTGAAAAAATTTATAAGTGGGATAAAGGTTACTGGACGAACATATACAATTTCAAGAACACCTTAAAAAGTTATCAATAAACTTTACAAAATAGTGAATACCTAGAAGAATTATTCCAAACACCTTTTTCCAAATGACTGTACCACAAACTGGTGGTTTTACCTTTTTCCAAGTAAATGTGGTTTATCATTTTTGCACCTGAATGTGGTAATTACAAAAAAGTTATCTAGCATGTTTTCCTTGTTTACAAGATACACATTCCAAACACTACAAATGAGACAGGGTAAGAACCATTATTTGGAGTTTATTTAAGTTAGGATGTTCAAGACATTCGTGAAGATTTGGAGATTCAGCTGCTACACAAATGGTGGAAGATGGAGATTGGATATAATGGCAACTGAGTGGTTCAGAGCCCTCCTATCATCTGTCTCCCACATTGGTCTTACATATGAGAAGAGTCAAAGGTTATTGAACAATTAAGAATGTGGGTCAATTTACTAATAGAAACTAAATTGAATGGTGAACCAAGGATAATAAGAAGAATGGATTCTATAATTAACAACGGAAGGAGATAGGTTTGACAAAAGGGATGGGTTACCAACAATATTGATTTGAAGTTCCAAGAGTCCAAAATCCAGGATTCAACAGACAAAGATTGAGAAGAGGAATTACCACATTCAGGTGCAAAAATGATGAACTACCAGAGTGACTTACTTTGACAATATAATCTTTGCAACCACTCTCTAATTAAGAGAACTTGTTCTCCTATGATGTAGAATCCCTATTTGTGTGTCAAGCACCAAGAATTGGGGCACATGCAGATTTTTTGGAAAACCAATCAAAGAATAAAAATAGTCCTAATTGTGTCCAATTCACATTTAATAGGAGCATTGTCATTGCAAGACTTATAGGAAAGGTAGGGGACCAAGAGCAAAGGTACAGTAGATTGAGAATTGACTATTATCGGTATCCCTCAGTTCCAGAATCACTGCCGAAATTGCATGAATCAGTGCTGAATTGTGATTCTTGTGGATGGCGCACAATTCCACCGCAAACTGGGTTACACACTAATCAAGTCGGGTCAGCGCAACCTGATTCACTAAAAGCCCGAAAAATTCACTTAGTTACTATTTGTCATGATTGTGTAGTTACCTTTGCTGCATTTTCTCCTCACTAGCGTTCAATCTCAAGCTTCTTGTGTTGGCAACACTAAGCAAGAGCAATCACCTGAACCATTTGAAGCAACTACAAGCCTACCTCATCACACTTGGTCACTCCCCCACCCACTTCTACACCTTTACACTTGTTCATTTCTGTGACCTCACTCTCCCCAACCTTTCCTACGATCGCTTCATCTTCGATCACCTTCACTCTCCCAACTCTCCCAACTCTCCCAACATCTACCTCTACATAGCCATGGTGGTTTGGGAAGTGCAAGGAAGGTGTTTGATGAAATGTCTGAGAAAAAAGTTGTCTTTTACTACTATGGTTTCCGGGTATGCAAAAATTGGAGATGTTAATAATGTTGTGAAGTTGTTTGATGAAATGCTGGAGAAGGATGTGCCATCTTGGAATGTTCTCATTGATGGGTGTACTTTGAATGGGTTTTTCTATGAGGGAATTGGGTTGTTTAGGAAAATGGTTTTCTTGCTGGGGAGAGATGGTGTCAGTGTAACAAGCCATACCAGGACACTGTGGTTTGCACACTTTTGGCTTGTGGTCACACAGGTATGCTTCAGCTTGGGAGATGGATACATGGTTATGTTTACAGGACTGGCTTTGTGCTTGACTGTTTGTGTTGAATGCTCTTGTGCATATGTATGGGAAGTGTGGGAACCTTGAGCAGGCAAGGGAGAGTTTGGTGTCATTGTGACTAATGTGACTTGAATCTTTATACTATGTTTCATTTTATTAGTTATACAATGAAGTATATAAACTGTCAATATATAGATAAATTTAATTTTTATTTATGTTAGAATATTTTTTTATTATATTTTTAGCAATTGGTCATGAATTTTACGATTTACGATACAATTTGATTCATGATTCGAATCTCAATTTAACTACCATGCTTGAAAAGATAGAAAGGGCTGACAAGCAGAATGGTGGTGGTTTGGTTGGATTCCAGCAATGAGAAAGCAGTGCATGGCATCCAAGCACAAATCAGAGGCAGAAAACAAAAAGCATTGCATGATGGCATATGCTGACTTTTCTACCAGCACTGATCTGAGATCTGGCCAAAACTTCGCAGGACGTGACATGATGTGCAGAGCACAGCAGGAAGTGACCACTTTGAACATCAAGTTGAGATTATGGACAGAATATTTTAGAGTATTTCAGAGATATGCCAGGGCATTTTTGGTACTCAGCAAAATGGATTTATATATATCAATGATTACAAATGTAATAACAAGGGTTAATGATCCCAAGGTTACATTGGATTTAGTCTACTTGGTTAGTGGAGCAATCATTTAAATATGTTGCTTCCAACAACCACAAAATGGAACAAACTAGTACATAGAAATCATTAAAAAGGAGAAAGGCCCAACAAATAGAAAAGATTGTAAGATTCAGAAACAACACACATTTGCAACATAACAAAAAGTAAAGTGTGAACATAAGGTTAAAAATAAAAAACATCATCAGACCCAGAGTAGATGCAACAATGAGTTATCAGAATTACCCAACACATAACCCAACAATTTGGCACAATCCATGAAGTACACCTCACAAACTTCGCTTACCTTAGCTATTTTGACCAGTTGATCATAGTTATCGTGTCCATAAAAGAATGGCTCCTTACGGAATATCTGTAAAAGGTCAAAAGCATACACCAAAGGTAAGCGCTAAAGAGACTTAATCCCATACAATACAATGACATCAAAAAGAGAAATTGAGATGCCATATGATAGTTAAAATTATAAGGTTTGCCTCTGCAATGGAAGAACAGGCCCTCTAAACAATACAAAAGTTGCATTTGAAGAAAAGTGCACTGCTTACCATCCCAGCAAACATACAACCAAGACTCCATAAATCTAGAGAGTAATCATAGTCTTGAAGATCAACAAGAAGCTCAGGGCCTTTGAAATATCTACAAGCAAAGCAGACATCAAGGAGATCAGAAAATGTGTGCTCAATAACGAACAAGTTACAAACTTAGTCAAGCAACCATAATCAAGTTAGTTTTTGACCAAAAGAATAAAAAAGCTGATGACTGAGGGCCTGTTTGGAAAAGCTTATGAACAGCTTATGACTCTCACAAACTATTTGCAGCTTATTTCAATAAGTTACTTGGCATAGCTTATCAAAATAAGCTGTTTTTAGGTAATCCCAATAAGTTTCATCACTAAATTTATTATATAATTCGTTGTTTTTAAAAGCTTATTGAATAAGTGCTTAAACAAACAATTACCCAAACTTAGTCAAGTAACCATATTTGTTTGTTATAGCCCAATGCACAGATTCAAACCTTGCAATACACTCTATTTCCCATCCCCTGTAGTGGGCTTCACCTCAAGGCCCACCACCGTGAGTCCTCCCATGAACCCAAAAAAAAATCAGAAGGGGAGGGAGAGAGACATGAGTAAATGCACCTTGAAGCCACTCGAACATTATATTCTTTTCCAGGATGATAGAATTCTGCAAGCCCCCAATCTATAAGGCGAAGCTTACGCTGTTCATGGTCAATCATTACATTATGTGGTTTTACATCCCGATGCATGATTCCTTGTGAATGGCAATAATCCAGTGCCTGGAAGAGGTTTCAATAACTTTGCGCTTTCAAATTGACATTCACAAACAATCAGAAATAATTGGATTAAACTAATGCAAATTACAGATCACAAACAGGACAAAGCAGCAGCATAGAGACAATACATACACCAGCCAGGATATATGGGCACGTATAACTAATATGTCAAAAAGAAAACCAGCAACAGACAGATATAGAGTTATCTTTTGCATGCATTATTTGTAATATAAACCTTCCAGGACACAGACAACGTGAAAAGTCTTAAATTGCAAGAGCACCTATGCAGTCGTTAATTTCCACATCTCCCTTATATATGATACAAAACCTTAATCAGACAGTAGGTCTGAAAATACCAACAAAATGTAAAGTTCATCTACACAACACCAAAGACAGAAGTATTCATCAAATCTGTATGGCAAATGGCTCAAATCTTTATCACTTTGAAATTCCATTCAACAAGAAAATCACAAAACTATCAACATCCAACCTTGTAAAGAAGCATCTATCATTTTTTCAACCAGATGTAAGGATAAAAACATAAAGGCAAAAAAAATGATATTGGTGGCACATTCATGTTCATTAATAAACAATAAAGTATAAAAAACTTGCCTTTAGAAGTTCATAGATATAGTATCGTATATCATAATCTGACAATGTAGGATAAAGCACTTTAAAATCAGTGTTATTGACATATTCAAATATAAGACTTGGGGTCTTCGATTGCTGGTCTCTAACAATGTCAAGCAACTTTACAATATTAGGCCCTCCACAAAGATTCTGTAATATTTTGATTTCCCTCTTTATCTGCATTCAGAATCAGAAGCATTGTCATATAACCAGAGGATGGAAGGCAATTATTGTTTACAAGAAATAAATGACTAGACTGCCCTCTACTACTAGGGCATCTATATTCTAGGTAACCAAATGGAAGTAACTAGAACCTTTCTCAAGAACTATGGCCACTTGTGCAACCATCACAACAGGAGCACAGAGCAATCAGCACCAAAAACACTATAAGGGATAGCAGGATTGCTGCTATACCAAAGATCATAAATACAAGACCAATAATTTATACAACACATTTATAAATACTCAAATATAAAGATATATCTAAAATTAAAGACATAGGCATAACTAATAATCAAATTTCATCGTTCAAACACTCCATCACCATAAAAAGGAAGATGTTGGAATTGAGATAAAAAAATAAAACAGAGGGCACGTGAGTCTCAAGAACACAACATAACACAAACAAAATTGAACGAACACCCATATAAATAGAATTTTAGGTGAATCAAAACAGATGAAATGAAGAGATGGGCAAATAAAGCATGTTTTGATTATAACAAAGCTAAAGGTATAATGGAGTAAGTATACAATCCATAAAGAAATAGAAGCAAAAACAGATGTATCTTCCTATTCCTGCAGCCACTTCCCCATCGATGTGACTGATATTTCTGTCGAAGTATGCAATTGCACATATCCTTTTATGAGTGATTACATATTACATACACGACAACCAAGCCTTCCTGAACCCTCCCCCACCCAAAAAAAAGAAAACCCAAACCCCTCACTTCCACACACCCAACAACAACATATGTACTCACTTTGGTAAGTGAAACGTTCCAACCCCAACCACAATATATGCACCACTTTACTATTGTATGCTTTCCCCAATAACATGTCATTAACCATCTTCAGTTTCTTTTCTGAGGTTCCTAATATTACAGTGCATCGACAATCCATGCCTTAGCTTCACATATTCCGTGAGCCATAAACATGACTTGCTTACAATGATTGCATCACATAAATAACAACATCTCCATACATCAAGCCCGAATAAAACAAGTAACAACCACCACATAAGAAAAACGTCAACGCCCACATAAAACTCACCTTCTTCTTCTTTACAGGTTTCAGGATCTTGATGATACATTTTTCACCATCCGTGCAGTGAACACCTTCAAACACCTCACTGTATTTTCCCCTACCCACCTTCCTCACCACCTCATAATCATCTTGCTCCCTGAAAAAGTACACAACGATAAATAACAACAAACACAATACCCTAAATTTTCTTTCACTCTGGAAAGGGAAGAAACTCGCTCGAAAATATATTTTATTATCCAAAAAATAAATAAATAAATTAGAAAAAGAAACAAGTGATTGAAAATTAAAGAAAAAGAAGAAGAAGGAGAATCCGTTACCCCCACTGGACGTTGAGGGATTCGTAATCCCAATATTCCTTGGGGCGAACAACGTTAACATCGGCATAAACCCTGGCCTTAGATGAAGCGCCGGGGCGGCGCGTGGATTTTCCAATCTTCTGAGCCATGGCGTGGGGTGGCGGAAGGAGAAAGCGGGTGGAAGCGTTTGGGGGAATTGAGAGAGGAAAAGGAAAGAGATTGATAAGTGCGGAAGAGAAAGAGCTATGTATCGCGCGACAAGTTGAATTGGAAGGGACTTGTGGCCATTAAATTAAATTCCAAATAAAAGTTGCAGGGGAAAATAATAAAGCCTTTGATTTGAATGATGCCTTTCGACACAATTTTCAAACCCCCTTCCTTTCCTCTTTTTTTCTTTTTTTTGAACTTTCTTTTTGTCTTTTTCCTTTTCATTTTTTTCTTCTCTTTTTCAACTTTTTTATTTCTTGTAATAAAATTAAATTAATCAATAATAGAAATTTTTTTATTAAAATTATAATATTTAATATTATTAATATATTTTATTGTGAAATTTTTATTAAAAACATTTATTAATCATTATCTTTAAATCAATAATTAGCAAAACTAAAAATATATATATTTCTAAATGTAATGTTCAAAGAATAATGAAAGAAATATTTTTCGATTTTACGCAATAAACTAGTCTTTCTAAAAAAATGAATTATCATCCTAAAATTTTAAATAAGCTTTACAGATACTTTTTAATACAATATATGTTTTTCTTATTTGATAATATAAGCGTATTTGGCAAAAACCGAAAGCTTCTTTTGTTAATTAAAATTTGTTTAACAAAAATAGTTATATTTGATAAAATAGCGGTAGCTGAAATAAGTAATTGTTAGTATTTTAATTTTTTTTTAACACTGTTCTAGCTTTTTAAAATGCTACTTTCACCTGATAACTGAGAGTATTTTTTATTTTAGTCTTTATTTTTGAACAATTTTTTATTTTATCCATTTAATTTTTGAATGTTTACTACCTTCATTTCTTTCATATTCAACAATTTTTAAAACACTTTCATCCTCATATCTTATTAAAATATAACTATATCGTTAAATCTTATCTTTTATAATATAAAAGTATCCAAATAATAATACAAATTCATTCATATTGACTATTTTTTTAATAAAAATATATTAAAATAGGAGTAAAATTAAATTTTAGAATTATTTTAAAACATATAATTATTAATTTTTAAATTCTAGACTTAAAAATTAATAATGTTCTTATATCAATACAATCAATTCAATAACTAATTTTATCAAATATTTTAATTCAATCAGCTGATATTTTATCTTTCAATTTTTAGCTTTCAACTAATTTATCTGTTGGTTTTATCAAATACACCTTACATGTATAATTTTTATATTAAAAATAATTTTATTTGCTTTAATTAATTACTCTTATAAAAATATTTTTAGTTTTCTAAATTGATGCTAAAAAAATAATAAACATTAAGAGTGATTAGGTATATGCATAATATTATTTAAGTTCATTGATCAAATTATTTTTTAAAAATTTTCAACACACACACACCATCAAGTAAATTACTTCTCAAAACTGTGATTCGTGTTCGTAAGTATAACATCATCATAGAGTTCTAGGGTAAAGAATTTTAGAATTAATTTGACAGTGAATTCATGCGATGCAAACTTGATTAAAAATTGAATGAAAAATATATAATTAACCTCAAAAAATATAATTAAATAAGTACAATTTAAGAAATAAAATATCTATCATAAAATTACTCTTAAAATAAAAACTTAAAACTTGTATTTTTTATTAATATATTTATTAATTTTCCAGGTTTGTTAAAATTATTAAAAAAATACTATTTAATATACATAATTAAAATAAAAACCGAAATACTTAAGTTATATTTACAAGTCAGTTATGAAATATGAAATCTTTTTTTATAATATTTTGTATATTTTTAACATTATTTACATTTTGCTTGAATATGTATAATGAAACTTTTAATAAATTTGTTTGTATATCTTACTTTAATGGCAAAAATATATTAAATTAATAACAGAATTACTTTCATACATATTTAGAATTTTATTTAAATTTAAAACTAAAAATTTCCATTTTATTTTATTTTATCCTGATATATCTTGATATTAATATTAATAAGGTATGGACAATAAATTCACTTCATAAATAAATTTAAAAAAATAAAGAAGAAAGCGTGTAATAATGAATACAAATGATGAATTTTTTAGTAAGAACTCGTTAAAAAATATATATGAAATTCATTAGCAAGTAATATCAAAATAGTAATTATTTGTGTGTTTGATGTAAAATCACTAAGAAAGAAGTTGAGTAACAAGAAAAGAAATGAAGTAGTGAAGCATGAGAGTTTGGAAGAGGTAACTTTTAGTTATCTCGTGTGTTGCAATACTCAATTTTACACATTCTTACATTCTAGTTTTGGAATTTTAAACATACTCAATGTTTCATTGGTTGATGTTTATAAATAAAGTGCAAATCAAAGCCATTTTCTTATTTTTCACTTTTAAAATCCATTCTCTCAAACTAGTCTCAAGTTTCTTTTTATTAAAAATTTGTAAAAGTAAAAGAAGAATTTGTTCATTGTTATCATTTATTTTCCTTTCTTTGTTATTTATTATATTCTTAAAAAAATAAGTTATGATAAAATTAATCTCAATTTGAATCATCATCATAATAATAATAATAATAATAATAATAATAATAATAATATTATTATTATTATTATTATTATTATTATTATTATTATTATATAAAAGGTACCACATAACTTTTAAAAAGCAAAAAGAATTGTAAAATTATATTTTAAAAATATGATATATTTTAATGCTTTTTTTTTCTGTTATTAAACAAGTCTAAAGACCCAAAAGAAAATACAATAACTAATCATCCAAAAAAATTCAATTTTACAAAGAACCGATTGAAAAAAAAAATTATACAAAATCTTAAAACTACTAAGCAATTGTTGAACCTAATTAACAAAAAAAAAATTGCATTTCTATTAGCTTCCTCCTTATACACATGAAATAAGTTAATAATTTTACAAAAAAAGAAAAATTAGGTTTTTAATCTCCACAAATTAGAGGTGCAAATTTGCAAACTCTATCCACGTTAGAGAAAGCTAAATAATATGCTAGCTTGGAATCCATCTCTACTAACACTTTGTAATATTTTTATTGGATAAAAACCTAATAAGACTCACTATAAATTTAGCCATAACTAAAAAATACCTTTCAACTTTTTGTCAAAATCAATGAAGAATTTTCTTGTTCATTTTGTATTAATTCCCACAAGCAGTTTTGATGTGAAAAATGCTCACTAATTTATCCATAATAAGTTTTAGTCTAATGGAAATTTCAACTAATAATGTCTTCTCTCTTTAAGATTTTGTGAATAGAATTAGAAAACATGACAACATAAAAAATAAAATAGTTAATATAAATATTGTAATAAATTATTAATAAACTTTAACTTTTATCTTTAATATTAAAAACAAAATCATTTATATTATTCCACAAAATCTAAATAAAATATAAATTAATATTCCAATAATTTAAACAGCTCCTAATTTCTTGAATCACCTTAATCAATGGGTGGGAATGTGGTTTAACATTCTGGATAAGACAAATAGCTTGTTTGCAATTACTTTAAATTCAAATCTAATGGAAGCCTTTCTTTAAAATCAGCTGATTCCCATAATAAATGCCCTAAAGTTTAGCTTCTAATGTAGAATAAAGATTACTTTTCTTGCTGAAACCAACCAAACAAGTTCTCCATAGGCTGCTTCACCATGAACCTTAGATATAGCTACATCCATGGTTAGTTTCACCTGACCAAGGAGAGGAGACATTCATTTAACCATATTTTGGTCATAAATAAGTTGTTGCAAATAACTATGATTGTCCATGAAGTAGAAAAATATGAAAGTAAAGTCACAAAGAATTTTATGATTAAAGCATTTTGGTTGGATGGACACATTCTAAAACACAAAAGTATTTGTACCCTTTCATAAATTTCAAACAATAATTCCAAAAAATTTGCCAATAAATGTAAGGTTGTAATTTTGATTGGATAGGTTCAAGACTAACCAATCTAAGATTCCTTTACTAAAAAAGCCACCTATTATTGAGGACAAACAAAGTGATCCCAAACTAATTTAGCATAAAAATAGGCCCTAAGAACATACATTATGGTCTCAAGGGCTTTCCCTACATCTTAAGCAACAAAATAAGTTAGTCATGTTTTACTTACATCTCTCCTCATTAGTTAGAAGTTTCTCATGACCACCTTCCAAAGGAAAAGGGTTAACTTGAGGGGACCATCCTAGGTCCAAATTAGCCAAAAATCTCGTGATTATACTTAAGAATGTGATCTAGTCTATATAACAAATTATAAGCAAACTTGATAGAGAAAATCTCATTGTTGGTTCTGTTTCAATAGACTGAATCAAGAACACTTAATCTAGTAGGAGGCTATATGAAAGCTATATCTAGTTAGGGAGAAATGTGGAAAGTTTCTCCCAATCTCAATTATTATTAGAGGGAAAGAACCTTATTGGAAGGTGTTCATGGGCAAGTGTACCTGTCAAAAATTAATAAAGGATTTTTAAATTAAGTTTCCAAATTATCTTCCCACAAGGATTGTTTCTAAGTACAAAAGAAGTCTCAATTTAATTGTTTGAATTTAAGAGATGCGTAGAAAGTAAATGGACTGATTAAATAGGTTAAAAATAGCGAGAAATTTTGATTACTAATTGGAAGAGAACCTAGGGCTTATGGGTTTGCCTTTACACATTTTTACGTTTTTTTTAACTTAATTATAATTCTAGCTTTCTTATGATTGTCAATCACTTATACAAATTTATTAACTTCTAATGGTCATGCAATGTTAACAATCTTTTCTTCAAATTATTACCTTCAATGATCATGCAAGGTAAAAAGATAAGAAAGCGTGAAGCACTTATGAGCTTGTTAATTAAATAACAATTGGAATAGAAGAGTTAAGTTTGGTCCACCTAATTCTTATCTCGTTTTATTCTATGAGTCCATTAACCACAGATGGTACAATTGTCTATTATGTAACTGATTATGACATGCTAGAAGTGGTCAATTCCTAACATACAAATATGCACACTAGAATAAAAACCAATCACAAAAGGAAACTAAAATGATTATCAAATAGAAAGATCACACAAA